AAAAAAAAAAAAAAAGAAAACCCCCCCCCCCGGTAAACTTGTTTCGAGGGTCCAAAAAAGTAACGGGTTTTTTTTACAAAAAGCGGGCCCAGGCGGGAAAAACCCACCCCGAGGGGAAAAACTTTGGGGGCAAAACCTGGGGGGGGGGGGGGGGGGGGGGGGGGGGGGGTTCTATCGGCATACCACGCCATATCGGTATTTCTCCCCGCGCGGGGGCGAATGTACGCAGCAGAGCACGTACGCACGCACCTTGACGGACTTGGCGTCGAGCAGCAGCTTCTCCTTTGAGGCGTAGATCTGTGGATAACGCCTGCGATAGCAGTTGCGGAGGGTTGGTGAAAAAACGAGCAGCGGGTGATTTCGCGGTGTGTGGCGTGAAAAAAAAAAAAAAACTGACTCGCATTTTTCAACTATTAATACATACAATACAACTACGGAGGGAACATGAACAATATTAACACACAACACGGCGGTGTCCGAAAATGTGACGGTTTCGAATTTGTAGCATAAGGGTGGGAGGGACTCTTCGAGAACATCGAGCCGGCAAACAATCCTTCCATTGGATTGTCGGGGTGCGGGTGAAACCCGTCCAATACTAGTACGATGGCAGGACAGAGCTCAGAGACAGTGAAGAGGGCTATAGGTTTATATATAGCATAGAGGGGCTACAGGTTTATCTCTCTCTCACCGTCGGACGGCCAGCAGGGTGGCCTCCGAGCACAGGGCCTTCATGTCGGCGCCGCAGTAGCCGGCGGTGAGCTCGGCGAGCTCATCCTGCCAAGAAGAGGAACGAACGCAGAAGAGACAGCTAGTCGTGACGAAAACCGCAGAAAAAACGAGCGGTCCCCATACAAGGCGGTGCCATAGGAGGCCAAGGGACCTGGTCGGCGTTACATTCCGGGCGCCCGGGCACTATTAAGAGTACGAGACAAACCTAAATATTCCATCCGGCCTTGTACCCAGGTACCAAGGCCCACCGGCCTCGCTTACGCGGCCTCATACAGGAAGGACCGCGAAAGCTGCATCGATCGGGCAAAGAGACAACCCGAGGCCAGGAGGGCGGACAGATAGATCGAGTCCCTCTGGACAGCTCCAACCGCTAGGTGAACCGGTTCGCTAAACACCCGTCCGTGGAGCAACCACAATGTGCAGCGTCAACGATTCGGGTCTAGCGATTCGCCAGGTGATTCCATCAGACCGAGCGTTGCTAACCGCGTCAGCCTTCGAGCAGCCCTTTCACACCACGTCATCCATCGACTTCTAATCTCACCAATTGGGGAACCCGAGCCTTACACTACACCATCCACCAGATGTCAAAAAGAAGCGACTTCCTTTCCATCAATCTTGACACAGGAGGTTAAGGAAGGTACATCGTACCTCGAGAGCCGGGTCCATGGGCGGCTTCCAATCCTTCGTGTGCACCCTCAGGATGTCGCGACGGGCCCTGCGCGTGGGCAGGGGAAAGGCGAGCTCCCGGTCAAATCGCCCCGGGCGTCGGAGCGCGGGGTCCAGGCTGTCCGGCCGGTTGGTAGCGCCTACAACGATCACCTTTTTATTGTCACGCCGGGAGGGGGGGGGTTGCGGGATATCGGAGGGGCAGCATGAGACCCCCCTACGATGGCAGCGTCCCAAGGGCAACGGTGGGGTAAAACGCGCTGGATGAACTCCACACAATCTTTTACACGACCTGTAGATAAGACACAGCAGCAGGTCCTCCACTCCAAACGAAAAACGAGACCGCAACGACCAGAGAGCAACGCAGAAGACGAGAACGCGGAGGGATGAACAGCGGCGCACTTGCTGTGTGCAACCAACCGCAGCTAAATGGTACTACTGTACCGTACCAACTAAAAAAGCAGGCCCCAGCGGACGAAAGCCTGATCATTGTATGTTCCTCTGGATAAAGTGGTCAACGTCAGCGCACACCTGCCCTCGGCTGTCCAGGCCGTCCATGAGGGCGAGCAGGGTCGACACGACGGACGCGTGGATCTGGTCCTGCTTGACGCTGCGGACCGGGGCGAGCCCGTCGATCTCGTCGAAGAAAATTATCGACGGCTGTGAAAAAGCATGGGCGAACACGACACGACGGAAGCACCGGGCGTGGGTTTGGGTGCTGTGGGTACCTCGTCGGCGTAGGCGTGCAGTTGGGGGGGGGGGGGGGGGGGGGGGGTTTATTGAAAAAAAAAAAGGGTGTTTTTTTTCCCGGGGAAAGAGGCGGGGGGGCGGGGCCCCAAAAAAAAAGGGGGGGCCCTTTTGGCGGGGGGGGGTTTTGGGGGGGTTTTTTTTTTTTT